TTTGGAGAGGAGCATAAGGAAAGATGGTCGAGGGAGGGAATGGGAAGGTGGGAATTCCCGAACGCGGATACAAGGATTCTAGGGTGTGTAGGAATTTTTGTTTGATAAAATAGGAGTTTTTTTGGAAAGGAGCATAGAGAAATGGTGGAATGGGGAGGGCTGAAAATGGGAGATTTTTTGGAAAGAACCACAGAGAAATGGTGGAGTAGGGAGGACTGAGGGGGGGGATGGGAGGGTAGGGATTCTCAGATGTAGAGACAATGGTCACAGAGGGCGCGGGAGATTCTGGGAGAGGAATACAGAGGGATCACTGAGTGGGGATGGTTAGGGGGGGGGATGGGACAGGGTGGATTTCCCAGACATAGGATACGATGGGTATAGAGGGGTTAAGGGGAACGAGAATGGGGATCGGCAAAATCAGGCCGATATTGGCCGGGGGGCACAGAGGGACACGGCCCACGGGAGGTGAGGGGGGTGGTGGGGTGCTGCAAGACATGGGGCGGGGTGAACGAGACAGGCCAATAAGGGCCTGGGGACATAGAGGAACACGAGAGGACATGTGGGGGGGTGTACGAGACAGGCCAATAAGGGCCGGGGGACATAGAGGAACACGAGAGGTGACGAGACGGGATGGTGGGGTATAGGGATAACAGGGCAGAGGGATTACATGGGTAGGGTGCTCTTGAGGGAGGGAGTGAGGGAAGCATGACTAGCCTAGCGGGATCCTTGATCCTGGGGGGGGACGCCGCGACTGGGTGCATTCTGCCTCCCGGCGACATCCCCCCGCAGGGAATAGGAACTCGAGTTCACTGGTTCTGACGACCTGACGCATGTGGCCACTGGCGCCTGCCAAGGCCGATACCTCCCACAAACCACTTTGCTGTCTGTCTGTCTGTTTTCTTGAACCTTTGCTGTACTAGCTTGCCGTGATAAGCAACCAAACTGACGCCCCCCAGAATAGATGGGCCATGTGTGTGTGTGCGTTTAAAAAAAAAAAAAAAAAGAAACTGCGAATGGCTCATTAAATCAGTTATCATTTATTTGGTGGTCTCCTTACCACTCCGATAACCGTGGTAATTCTAGAGCTAATACGTGCAGCATATCCCGACTTCTGGAAGGGATGTATTTATTGGATAAAAG